ACTTGGGCCTGATTTTGGGGCTCCCTGTGTTAGTGTATTGCCAGGACTGAAGAGTATTGGGGTCTCAAGTTGAGCCCCAAAAGGACGACACTACGGAGGTTTTTTTTTTTAAAAAAAAAAAAAAATATTTTTGAGCTAGCCAAAAAGTTGAATGAATTTCTACTCTTAAGAGCACAATGACACCTAAAGGCCAAGTATATCAGTCCTGTCTGGCAGTATTTTATCAATACTGCAACTGCAAGTCATGCAGGTATACTTAAACTACCTTTTAAGTGGCGGCTTGAATACTGCTAGCAGAATAGCTGTGGCAATACCAAGCTAAGCATGGGCAGCAAATTCTGCCTGAGAACTGGGATACGTATTCAAGTAGTTAACCCACGTGGAGCTCTCTAGTTTTGTACCTATACTGCTAAATATTTAATTTGAAGTGGCTCAGTATGCAGCACACATACCCTGGTTATTTTATGTCAACCTCCTTTGACTGACTTTTGTGGCTTTACTGTATTCATCCTTGCTCCCTGTCTTCTTTTTGCCTCAACAAAGGCTTATGCAATTATGGCAAATGCGTATGTATATGTCTGCCCTTACTGCCTCAAAATTTAGAGCATATTACCCCATTTCAGACAGTTTTGGTAGGGAGAAGATACAAATTTCATGTGAACAAAAGTTAGCTAGAGGAAGGAGAGCCTGTAACAGTCTCTAGATGCATCCTGACTGAAAGAAACATTGTAATGTGAGCTCAGCTGTTATTACGCAGCAGAGAGTTCACACTAGGCACAGCCCTTTACAAACACACTGAGTTAATAAATCCAGAACACGCTCTGGTTTGAGCTTAACATCTATAAAACACCAGTCTGTGAAAAAAACAGACTTTGTTAGTTCCATCCAACCATATCATGATTGTTTAAGAGATTTCGAATTACTGTAAAATCAGCATTAAAGGGGAAATAGTCTCAAGAAATGCTTTCCTATTACACAAAATATTTTGCAGCATACTTGTTTGCCAACAAATCCACAGTGTCTGTCCCTTCTTTCCCATGTCATATATTAGTTGCTTTAATAATTTTCAGAATTTCATTGTACTTTGTCCCAAAGACTTGAATAATTACACTCACCTTCATAAAACTATTACCATTAAACTGAATGGATTCAGCTGGTGAGTATCCATTTGTAGGAACTACGAAAAGGGAATTGTTCCTTTCCCTTTGTTACTTCTGTCAGATTTGTCCCTCACCCCATCAATTATTGTTTTCTTTTGCTCCTCATGGTCATTCTAACCATTACTGGTTACAATCCTTTGCCACTTGCATGCTGGCAGAGTAATGTCAGCCAGCTGGGTGGCTTTGTGAGTTGCAATAAACTCTGTATCATTCCTTTTAGTTCATAGGAGGCTTTTTTCATTTGTTCTCTGAAGTCCTTCTGCTGTTTGTCTTAGCTTTCATTCTCTTTAACTACAGGCTTCCACTCATTTCTTGCTGGGGCACCATTTTTATTTTCTGAGTATGCACAGCTACTCTCCAGGAAAGCAGCACACTTCTACTCCCCTCCAGGTGTTCTATCTTACTCAGGTACTGCTTTTTTAAAGGAATAATAATGTATAGACTGAAAACACAGAAATAAAACTGGTATGGTCGATCACAGGCAACCATACCCCATCTTTAAACTTATTTATCCTTCTCTAAGCTGGCCACAAATGCACAGAATTAAAGCAAAAGACTTATTGTCAGACTTATTGCTAGAGTATGAGGAAAAAACAAACAGAAAACTGATCAGTATTTTATGTAAAAAAAGCTCAGGGCCTCTTTATTTCTAGGAAAAAAAGTTAAGAAGCATGAGATATAATTCCAGGAAATGCAAAGTGAAATTTAATGAGTTACAATTAGTTACACAGGGGGAGCTTAGGTGCTGAGATGCCCAGTGGTGTGGCACCCAGCCTTCAAGTACGCAGCTCAAGGAAAGGAATTCATGGTGTTCAGTTCAGTTACTGAACTTGGTAAGTAGTGTGTGGAGTAGACAGTGGGAGTTAAACAAGATAGATTTGTGGTTCCCAGAACAGATACAGATTCTTGTGTCTTTGGAGAACATTAAAAATGTAGAAGTATAAAGATCCCCTTAACTTTTAGTCTTGCTTAGTGGAATGACAGCCTCTGCTGGGGACTGCGCAATACCCTGCAGATGTGGTAAAAATTTGCATCCTTAAATATAAAAGATCTGTGATTCCCTTGCAGGTAGGTCTCCTCAATGGCAGCATGAACCTTGTCAACTACTTGCAGCAAACTTTGGATCAGTCCTGCTAAGGCTACAAGGGTCAATAGGAGACTACAATGGCAATGCAACACAGGAAATGATAGATTCCATTACAGAGAGACTGGAAACAAACCTGATTTTTCATGCTCTCATGCCTTATCTCTGTTGTTCCTGCTATTTAGAAGTGTAACTTGGAAGCATTTAAAGTTTGTGAGAGATGAACAGCATGTTACGAAACACCAGAAAATCTGGTACCACATCAATTGTAACTTACTCTAGGTAATTTACTATATTTACTGTACTCAATTTACATAACTGTAGGTATGCACACCTTTTAAATTTGGGGCAGTTTATATATGAAAATGTACTGTGCTTCAAATGTGACTATCAAGCAGTCCTATGAGATGAAAAAAATCACCACTTCTTGAGTGAAAGCTGAAGGATTCAGAGGTGGTCTGGTGACACTAAAAAAGTAGGGTGAGACATTCCTTTTTCCTGCTCTTTCATCTGTGTGTGGGTCCAAATGTGCTAGCGAGTACCAGTTCCCTTTCTGAAGCCCTTGCTAGAATTTAAATCTGGGTTATTTAGTGCACAGAGAAATCATGCATGTTCTTAGCACTTGCCAGAGTGACCATACAGCCAGTTCACTGGCAAGACTTTTGTTCAGCGGGAAAACATTTCAATCTTTCTTTTCAGTGCTAAAGAATGTTCATGAAGATCTTCATTACACAAGAGGGAATGAAAGAGGACAGATCAGGAGAAAATAAGGTAACCTTCCAGTTCAGCTTCTGTGACGTGACACCACGCTGTAACCAACACAGAAAGCAGGTCACAGAAAGGCTTCTGTTGGGAAGCGCACTGCCAGGATATGCTAGGCTTGCCACTACATCATGACATAACACATCCGTTTTTATCAAGACTTTTGCTATGGTATTTAGTCCCTGCAAGCAGCCCATGGAATAACAAGGTTACATCAAAACTGCTGCAGTAAAAAAATAGTAGTAGCACAGTTATGTTGTATGTAAAAACACAAACTCTAAAAGGTCAAAACAGAAAATAATGAAAATCTCAATTTAAAACATGACCTTTTCTTTTAAAGCCTGTTAACAGCCATCTGAAATTTGACCCCTCCACCCGGAGCCAGCAATATTGCCTTGTCTGTACCATCGTTTTGTCTCCAGGCCACAGCACGCATTTTGGCCCAAACTCCCTCCTTTCCTACACTATTTGCTACAGCTTGGAATGAACCAAGAGGCTCTCCAAGGGGATTTACCGTTAGATCGTGACTAGCAGTTGCTTTCTTCGGGTGCTGAGGAGCAATTTGACCCCTCCACCCGGAGCCAGCAATATTGCCTTGTCTGTACCATCGTTTTGTCTCCAGGCCACAGCACGCATTTTGGCCCAAACTCCCTCCTTTCCTACACTATTTGCTACAGCTTGGAATGAACCAAGAGGCTCTCCAAGGGGATTTACCGTTAGATCGTGACTAGCAGTTGCTTTCTTCGGGTGCTGAGGAGCAC